GGCGCCCAAGGGCTTCTCTGCGCGGCAGCTTCCGCGTCAAGGGGCGATGCCGTTTCCTCCGGAGTCAGACCCGCGGATGCGGCCGCTGCGGGGGCCGGCGAGGGGCGCGGGGAAAGGCCGGCCACGACCTGGGCTCGAGGCCGGCCCCCCGCGCAAGGAGCGCGGCTTCGGCGAGCGCGCTCCACCCGGAGCCTCCCGCGCCGCCCTCCGGGAGCCGCCTCGGGGCGCGGAGCTGCGCCCGAGCGGACGCCCCGCGCCCTCCGGCGACAGCGAGCGGCTCCCCGCGGCGCCGCTCTGCAGCGCAGAGGCAGGGCTGGCCGGCGAGTGGCCGGGGAGATCAGGGGAGCCCCAGCGCCCTCTCCGAAAAGCCCGGCGGAGGAGTCCCGCGGTTCCCGCCACCGAGCCAAGAGGGGAGGCCGACGGGAGCGGTGGGCGGTTTGGTGCGGTCATCTGTGTAAACATGCCGGCTCGGTGACACAGCAGGCTCCGCCCCCCCCCGCCAGCCGCCCCCCCCCCCGGCAGAGCCGAACGAGTTTGGGCTTTCGCCTAGCTGCTGGTTTAATATCCATCTCGCAGCGTTGCCTGTTTGCAAGATGTGCTAATTACTACTCGGATAGCAGAGTCCTTGTCCATCCCCTACTACAAAGTAGGGCTTTGCTAGGGGAGGGGGCGATTTTTTTTTCTTTTGAAATTGCCTTTCAGCCTAAAGCTGCCTTACCTGAATGTCATAATTACAGTAATTATGTACATCCAAATTACATGCTAATTAAATTAGAATCAAATCGTTCTAAATCGAAATCAAATGAGGTAGCGAGAATTAATCAATGACAACATAAATAGAGAGCTTCCTTCGGGGATATTTATTGTAACGATCCAAGAGGGAATCTGAGCTGAAAAGTCACCTGTTTATTTACCTTTCAATTAGTAATAATTTATTTTCCTTCATCTAAATTTTGATGGTGTCGGCTGATTTCCCCCTCCCTTTCTAGACTCTATAAATTAAACAGGGAATTAAATGGCGTACTCCAGCGCCACTCTGAAATCTGCAACATCTAGTCTCCAAAAGCAGCCCCTCGCGGAGCTGGTGCGGAGGAGCCGGAGCCGTGGCCGTGCCTTCGGTTCGCCTTCGAGGCCCGACGCAGAGCTGCAGAACGCGGGAAGCCCCTTCCCTTCCCTTCCCTTCCCTTCCCTTCCCTTCCCTTCCCTTCCCTTCCCTTCCCGAGGAGCAGCGGGTCACCCTCGCGGTGTGGGAGCGCGCCTCAGAGGAAGCCCTTCTGAAGGCGCCCGGGCGCCCGTCTCCACGCGTGGGCAAGCGGGAGAGCGCCTTGGAGGGCGACCCGAAGACAGGCCAGCGCCTCGGGGGGCATGTGGGCCACTCGCGCGCGCTCCCGGGAGGTCGCCGCCTAACTCTGGAGGACGTGTCTGAACGCCTGAGCTGCCGCCGCCGTTTTGTTCGTAACCGCTTAAGCCTGTCTCCTAAGCCGCGATCCTCCAACGGATTGAGGCGCAAGGGCAACCGGGGTAAAGAAGACACACACACAAGATTTAAGGATTCCAGCAGCGCTTTGATGTCGGATGTTGCTATGGGAACATTCCGAAGTTGCTATGGGAAGAGTATATTTGGCATGGACACCTATCCCAGACCCACAATCACAGATAGGGTCCGCATGGCACGTATTTTCCTTATCCCCAGTCGGCATTATATTGGTCATCTTGGATAAGTTGCACTGTCCCCCAAGCCGTTTTCTGCAAAGTAAATCTGGAGTTACAGAGCTTACAGAAGTTTCCAGTTCCATGTGAGGTCTGACCCTAAACGCACTCTTTCAGAAGTAAACCTAATTCGTTCAGCTTGGACAGCCCTCCCCAGCCCGGTGCCCTCCAGATGTGCTGGGACCCAGAGTGCTCTCGCCAGGGTTGCTGTCCAGCACGGCCTTCCATCTGGAAGGCTCCACGGCGGGAGGACTGCTCCAGAGGGGCACGGGCAGCCAGCAGGAAGCCTTGCTTACTTCCATACAGACCTCATATCGTAAGGAAGTTTGCATGTTAGAAAGGACGGCTGTCACTGGTGTAGGCAATAACGCAGCCCTTTCCTTTCTTTTCCGCCAACGTAACAAGTTCGGAGGCAGGGGCCAAGTCTGGATTCCTGCTGCCAGGAGGAGAGACTTCGCCACCTCAGCGGAGGATTTCGGCTGCGGCAAAGGCTAGGACTGGTCGCGCTGGCTCGCCTATCTCTGTTGCCAGTTTCATTCCCCGACTGCTCCTCCTCGCCCTCTTGCGAGTACCGGGTGATCCTCCTTCCCACAGAGCAGGGGGCGGCCCAGCGCCCCTGGAGGGGAAAATGCCTGCTTTTAAAACCCGACCACTTAGTCAGGCTCGTTACTGAATATTTCTTAAAGGAGGAGCGATGGGAAAGAGGAAAGGAGCCGCGAGATGGCTGGTCTGGAAAGCCACGAAACGAGAGTTGCCTTCAGCTTCTTCGGAGCGGGACCGCCGACGAGGAGCCCCGGTGTTGCGGCAAGCCAGGCGCGGCTGGCCTCGCGTTTGCCCTGGTCAGATCTCGCCGCCGCCGCTCTTGGCTGAGGCGGGAGTCGCCTCGCCACACGGAGAACAATTCCAGAGAACAAGCGGGAGAGGAACGCCATGCCCCCCCCCCGCGCTTCTACTACCACCCACAGAGCGCGCGCGCGCCCACCCGCCCGCCCGCCCGCGGAGGCCCCCGGCCGCCGCTCCCTGCGAATGAGGCGAGGCGGCCTGTTTCTTCAGCAAGTGAGCCCGCGGCGTTCTGCTAGCGGCTCCGCTCGCCTCAACGGCTCCGACGCTAGGCCTAGGCGGGCAATCTCCCAAGTTTTGTAGCACGGCCCTTTATTGACCACGTAGTATTGGATCACGGCCGCTGCAGGCCACGGTCATTCGTATTTTGGTGGCGCCTCATCTCCACGGAGCCTCAAAGGCCTTCCCCGGTTCAACGCCCTTTAAGAGATGCTCTTTACAGGCCATTTAAGTTACACAGAGAAAACAAATAGCGCAAGTTACGGCTGCTTTCTGTGCATCCCTTGGGCCTAGTAGTGGTTGCGGGAGATGATTCATCCACCGGCAAACCACGCTGCGTGACACTTTCGTCTTGCAGCCCAGCGCCTGAGGCTCAAAGAGAGACTGACTACTTAGACGTTCGTGGTCATTTGTAAACCAACAGCACCTCCTACTGGGTTTAATTTGTCATTGTCAAATTAAGGCAGCCAGCAAGGCTCAAAAGCCGTTTTTAGAACGAGGCTCATCTTGCAGCTTTCCAGAAGAGGCATGTCCATTTTCCCTTTCTTGCCTTTGAACAATAGCTGAAAAGAGAACTTAACACACGTGGAACAACAAAACTAGATTCACCAGCAAGGGTACACTTGACAGCGAACAGACTCCAGGACTCCTTAGCAACATGAGCCTTTTCCCTTTTTGCAGTCACAGTCCACGTTTTTGGGTGCACTGCTGAACTGTGTTTGGTCAAATGTTGCGTGTGGAAAAGAGAGGAAGCTGCGTACAGTGGAGGTAATCTCAAACACTTTGGTAGATGCACGTACTTTTAAGGGGATGGGAAACCACCTTAAATGCTGTCAAATTGAACTGGCTTGTTTCCTGTTCCTATCCCACAGGATGATGGCAAAGAAGCAAATTGTTTGCATCAGTTATTTACAATACTCACAAAGGTGAATTTTTAGTCTATATTAAACATTCTTCTATTATCTTGGACACCCAAGATATTATGTTTTCATCTTAACATCTCTGAAAAACCTGAAATACCTTCTGTTTACACCTCAAATGGCATTCAAAAGCCGTTTCAAAAGCAAAAACAGCCAGTGTGCCAAAAGATGCTGAAGCTGCTTCACAGGTTGCTCCGCCAGAGAAGCTCCACAGCCTCATCTAGAGATGCAACTCATTTGACACAAAATATGAACTAAAATGCTGTCAACAATTCCACGTTCAGCAGAAGCATCCCTCTGCTATTCCTACTGATGCATCAAATTGAGAGAGGTTATAAGGAGGTATTAGTAGCCTCTCCAGATTTTTTCTCAGCTCTATGTTAAACCTAGAACAGCCTGGTTTGGAAAGATGGATGAGGCAGAATGAGACCTTTCCATTCAGCCAGAAGGACTAGCAAAATTTCTGACATGCCATGGTGTACTGTTATCAAGTAAGCTAAAAGAAACCAAATGAAGAGCATGTAGAAATGCTTACTAAAAATAGAGGGGCCCAATACCGTTCTCTCAAAGAAGAGGATTAAGTGTAACAGCAGCAGCTGGGTGGCAAGCTGCCAGCACAGACAAGCTTGAACCAATGCCCCTTTTCTATGTACAACAAAATAGGCCAGAGAGAGAGGGTGGGTGCGTGGAGAGACAAGAGACTGCTCTTTTCAGAGGCAGAGAAATAGATGTCTCGCACTACTTATGTGTTATTCCAAAGGCCCTTTCAAAGTGGGTTCACAAATTTTACTGGGCTGAAAGACGTTCTCAAATGCAGGCTTTGCACCAAAATGTCCCCCTGTGTTCTCAGGCATAAACTCTGAAAAGCTGTGCCCTGGACACTTCATATTAAGTTCTTGCCCTTGTGTTGCTTTAGAAACAAAGCCACAATGTTGTAGGAAATGGGTGCCCAGGTATAGGGGAAGTGCTGCTCTTAAATTTCAGAGCATCTATTTAAATTGCCTCTGGCAGTAAAGATAGGAACAGTGTGTGGATCTAGCAAACCAAGAGCCTGCCTTTTCTATTTCCCCATTGTAATGTTTAAAATCAGGTGGTACTATTGTTTGAAATACTGTCTGTGGACCAAGTCCAGACAGAAAAGGTAAATCCAGAAATCTTCTTAGTGGGTGGGTTAAAGTAGAAGGCATTTTCCCAACCTCACTAAGCTGAAGACTAAATATCTTTCAAGAGTGTGGTAAACTGTGCGATAATTCTTAAAAGGGGGTAGGTAGAATGGCATGTGGGGGATAATAAACAATTTTAAATAGCCACTTTAGGTACATAATTTTTTATTTTTCCATCCCAACCTTTTGAACTAGCCCAAGCTAGAAATGTATATACAATTTAATAATGTGAACATTAAATGTGTTAGCTTTTCAGTCTGTTTATAACCATCTGTTTTCTTGTTGCCCAAACCTATGCATATTTACTAGCGAGTATGTTTAATAGATTTTTCTTCTAAGTAAGTACACCCAGCAATGCAAACATTGTGCCATTTAGCTTCTTTTAATGAAAGCATCAACAAGTTAATGTAGTTTGCAGTCCTGCTTATCTCTAGCATCCAGTCCTGCTATTTTTACTTTCTCATGGTAATATGCATATAATGTGCAAAGACTGAGTTTTGTAATGCAATTAAGCCACTTCCTATGAAAACTAATTTCTGTATTATATACAAGCTCCTGCACAGTGGTACAAAGTAATCAAAAACATAACCAATCAGAACAAATTGTAGCAGAGGCAGAAAGAAGTTGCCTGCTTGCACCTTGACTTAAATCGCACTACTTGGTTCCTCTAATGAATGAGTTTTCCTTCTCTTTGAGAACTAAAAAGGAAAAGCAGCAGTTTCTACCTGTGCCTTTGAAATAGCAGAAAAATCCTAGAAAATAGGGAGATCCATTTCTTGAAACTGACATTTATTTAATGTACTTCATATCATAATAACATCTAGTTTAAAAAAAATCCCCCAATCCTAAGAGAAATAAGCTGCTTCTTGTAAGCTGAGAGTGGAGCTCACATTAGATTCCTACTGCACACAGAAACTGTTAAGACAGTAAATATTCTTCCCATGTCTTGAGAAACTATTGAACAATAACTTGACACTGTGGTGACATATACCAACAGGGGTTCAAGATGCTTAGATAGCCTTGACCAAGTTATACTCCGCAGGTGGTGAAAAATGTTGGCTACACACTTGTGTGGAACTATGTTGTTGTTTGAACTTGTGAAATTTTCCTCTTAGGTCGATTTTGGTGAACATGCCTCAGTCAAAAATAACCTAGCATTTGTGGATTTTAACACACACATGTTAAGTATTATTGGCATAATGTAACATGCCTTAGAAGACTCATCTGCTCCTCACCTATTATTTTATGTTTATTAAATAAACATAAGTAATGAGAAATAAATTGGACTGGTTAAGCTTCAATTTTACAGAAACAAGGCAATTTTTTTTGTACATTGAAGTCTAAAATAAATGAAAACTTGATTTATCAAATAAAGCTCCCATGTGACTGGTTACTCAAACAGAAGACACATTTAGCAAGAAGATAATTTGTTGCTCGTGTTTAAAAGGTTGTATTTGTTTGCTATGTACATAAAAATGTTTACAGGAGTCTTTAAAGTAAGAAGCTGACATTTCAATGCGAATGGCCAGCTGATGGAGAAGAGGGAGAAGTCAAGAGCCCTTACTAAAGGAATGTATAAAAGACCCACAAAATTGCATCTCCCACCCACATTATCTATTTTTTCCTGTCTCTGCTTCTGCTTCTATCTCTGCCCTCCATTCTCCTGTATTTGTCATTGTAGCTCTCCCGATGTTTCTGTTGCTCTCTGCAAACATCTGAGCTACGACTTGTAGTTTCGTTTTTCCTACGCTGCTCCTCACTCGGGCTATAAGTCCTGTGCCTTGTGTTAGAGCCTCTCTCGCGCCTCTCCTTGCTGTGGCTTCTGCTCCCATATCTTTCCAATTCTCCCCTCTTGTCTGTGTTATCATTTCTGCTTGTGTGCTTTCTTTTGCTGGCACAGGAGCTCCATTTGTTGTTCTCCCCAGAACTATCTTGCTTTAAAAGTCTATACTTCTCGCTATCTTTGTCCTTGTTACCATGACTGCTGGAGGGATCTTCATAAAGTTTTCCCTTAGTCTTCGCCTTCCCTTCAGAATCACTGCTGCTAGTCTCTGAAAACTTCGCTTTTCTTCTTTCCTTAGAATCCCGCTTCTTTTGTGCTGCTTTATCTTGGCTGTCAGTCTCACTATCACGGCTGCTTACTGAAGACTCACTGAAGGACGTGGAAGAAGATCTGCTCTTATGTTTCCTGTGTTTACTTTTGCTTTTTCTCTTTTGGTGCTTTTTCTTCTTTCTATCTTTCTTCTTCTTCTTCTCCAGGCGATCCAATTTCCTTTTATTTTGAACACAGAAAAGCAAAGCAATTAAGCAGCGAGAAAGAAGACTGAACGACTATATTTCCAACATCAATCTTTAAAGCATATCCTGTATGATAAATAATCAGAATGAATTATCTAAACCATAATACAATCTTGATACCCCCTCTCCAAGCTTACCACCTGGCCCTTTTTAATGTAGCCTTTATTTACTGTAAAAAGTTATACAATTGCTGACTTCTATAAGGAAAGGGAGAAAGCAATATGAATGCCGGCTTTAGCTTTAGTTTTTTGTTTTGTTTAAAAGAGCCAGTTCTGACTAGTTTTAAGATTCAAAATTTCATCCATTTTTTAGATAGTTACCTCTGCATTGTTTTACTCTATGGAAGGGGGTGGGGGAGAAGAAGTGCACATTTAATCTAGTTTAATTTACCCTTGAAATAGTTCTCAGTATGTTGAGCTAATACGGAACTTTTAATTAGGAAAACAAGTTTGAGAGACAATCTCAATATATTTAAATAATTTAAAATTATAATAATTATAGAAATTACAGTATCCGTGTTCCAAAAATATGGCTCCAATCCTCTTCCACGGAAGTCAGAGAGGACTGTTACCGATTTCTATATGCCCCTTTGTTCTTATTGAGCCAGGGCCATGCATGGACCGGAACCTGGTTACTGGGATATGACATCAGGTGTGCATGCAGTGCTCTCAGCCTGATCCAGCAGCCAAGGTGGCACGTGTATAACCCCACTAGGTAACACCATGGCATTGCTTGGGAGAGGAAGCATGGCTTAAGGATCTCTCACTCCTTTCTCCAGGTCAAACAGCTGACAACATAAACTGCTGCTCATCTGAGAAGGCTGGGTGGGTTTTTTGGCCCTTGACGGAGTTCCATATTACTGAATTATGCTCAGGCTTCCAATGCCAGGCACCCAAGGCAGAAAACAACAGCAACACAACAAATCTGATGTAAATGGCAAGGCTAAAACCCTGTGAGAAGATGGGTTATAAGTAAGTCCCATTTCCCCAAATGACTCAGACGCATATTACCTTGAGCCAGGCGCTACAAGTGCTGTGTATGCAGGCCCATTGCCAGAGCAAATCAAGGGTCAAGCTGTTCCCCCAACTCTAGATGAGTCCCATTTCAGTTAACAGTGCTCCCTTCAAAGCAGTGGGTTTAAGATGGGCAAATTACATTGAAGCTGCAGCTCTGCATCCATGTTCTCCTGTATCAACAGCAACGGTGCTGCTAGACTTCGTTTACTCTTAAAACAGGGCAGGACTGCAAGCTCACAGTTCCTAACAGGCCAACACGTTTGCGGCTGTGGGGTAGTCTAAAAAGAGCATTCCAGTATAAAACAGAACCCCACTGCTGCGGCATCCACTGGTGACGGTTGGTTATAGACAGAAAGAGGGCTACATGCCAGCAATATGGTTACCTCAGAAGTTTTTGTTTTTGCTTCGTTGTCAAGGATTTCAGAAATTCTACCTCTGGATCATCTTCGCCTTCACTTGCCACAAACTCCTATCAAAAGACAAGAGAGTACATTGCTGTGGGCTAGGAATGAGAAAGGCAGCACTAACGTTAGCACAACAATATGAATAATGTATGTGCTTAATAATATATGTAAATAATATATGGATTTGAAGAAGTATAGGGATTTTGCTGCAAAGAATGCTGAAACAAAGGATTTTGTGTTTAAGAAAGTGGTGCTTGACATGTATTTATCAAAGTAGCGTGTTAAAATCATTCTAAAAGGAAACAGTATGGGCATAAATACATAGGAAGCCCTAATAATATTAGTTCCACAAAAGCCAAATAGATGGAGCTGAAGATGGTTGAGGACAGTTTACTTAGCCTTTCAGGTTTCAAGTTAAATTCAGTATTTAGCGTTTCTCCATGTTTTTTCTCATATTTTGCTTTGGCTTGAGCATGATTTTTTAAATGGAAACCTGACTTGTGATAGTCATACATAAAACTGAACACAAGTCTTGTTCGGACATTGCTTCCTGGGGACAAATCTATCTTACTAAAAAGTTGGGGCATTCTGTGTCCCCCCTCCTTCATAGCAGGAAGAAAGCAACACCTAAGACAGACGGCCACATTCAGTCGAACCATTCTTTGCTGGGCTTCCTGATCTTCCAGGAAGAATAGAGGTATCTGAGGAACATGGGGAGGGCACAACATTTAAGATATATTGTACATGTACTGGGCCAGGCATTACTTCCTCTTTATCATGAGGACTAAGGAGATGCAGAGATGCACTTGCAACCCAGTTAAAATTCCCAGCCTGCCCATCTGAACAGGCCAACTTCTTGGCTTGCTGAAAGGTTTGGGATGTGTCCCCAGGGACCCTTGCTCTACTGCGGCTCTGGCATTGGCGGGGAAGCATGCCAAGGGTCTACATGGAGGCAAGTCACTGAAATTCAGCCAACTACTCCCCTCCCGTGGCTTGCCCATGGAGATCACCCCCTCTCCCCCAGATGGACCCTTTATTTTAACACCAAGATTCACCTGCTTTTTTCTACTGGGGCAGTTCAGTGTTTAAAAACACTGACCGACAACCCTCAGGCCTGCTTTGTTACACATGAAGTGATATACTCTGAGGGCCCAATTTACAACTGCATTGTACTGTGGCGCACAAACGACAATGCACCCATGCTGCATGCGCACCCGTGAGCCCCAGCTCTTCAAGGGAAGAGGACGGAGACATCCTGCGCCCCTGGCTGCCGAGCTCCCACCAGTGAAGAGCAGTCCCAAAAGCGCTCTGGCCAGAAAATGTAAGGCTGTGCTGCAGGATTCTCTCCTCGAAGGCTGGGGCGTCCCTGCCCTGATGCAAGCCCCCACCAAGAGACAGGCGACCGTCAACAGAAACAGCACATCCACAGCACCCGCGTCGTTCCCCACAAGCCCTGCCAAGCCGTGACTTAGCCTGCATTTGCCAAGCTTGGCTTCCCATAGCCATGGGGAAAGGGCTTTGCCATTCCCCTGAAACATGCGGGGAGTTCTGGAGCGTAGTCGCCAAAGGTGACATTTCCCGAATGCCGCTTCTTCATTATTTCCCCCTGGTCCTCACCCGGGGTAGGTGGCTCTGGATAAGACAGTCGATATCTTATCATAAGCAGGCAAGTAAAGCCGAAACCATTTCTGCTGGCAGATATTAAATCTCTGCTGCCCCACAGGAGGCATTTCATTTATTAAGCGATGGGTTGGAAAAATTATTTTAGCTTTGTCACTCTGGCTAACCAAAAAAAGGAGGGGGGAGTGAAAAGCAGAGTAAGTTTCAGGACACACATCCCTTGCTCTATCTATTTGGCTTTCCTATGGATATGCATATTATAAAAACATTAAGTAACAATTCACAAGCAATCACATTTAGATTTACAGACATTTTCAGCTTACTGATAAAAAGATCATTACCTGTGATGGATCATTTGCGGTCAAGTTTCTCCCCAGTACATTTTGTTTCAGTGCAAACCCACTGTTTCTCATCTCCGCTATTAGCTCCGAGGGGTGCATTGATGGCCCTGTTCACCAAAATCACAGTTTGAATGTATCATTTATATCTCTCTACCTTTTTTGGACTCCACAGTGGGAATTCAGCTGATGCTTTGTTAAGTAAAATCACAGCTAAATCAACTCAATAATCTTCTGCTGAGCAAATAATCAGATATGATTTTCTAAAACAGCAGTCTGGAGATTCAGAATAGAAAATAATTGCATTTTTCTTTAAGTGCAAGGGGATTCTCTTCTTATGTAACTTTGTCAGGTTGAACACAATATATTTTAGGTACTGTCTGGCTTTAAGCTTTTGTCAAAAGTACAAAAAATAAAGTAAGCATAGAAAGCCATTCTAACTTTAAGATTTAAAAACCTTTTGACACCAAGGAGACATATGAACACACACTTTAAAGAGAGATACTGAAAAGACATTTTAAAAATAATTTTTAAAAATGGAAGGAATGATCTTATGACCCTGAGACATTGTCTGAGGGGCACAGGATTGTTCAGATTCCCAGCTCTGAGGTCAGACACAGTGCTCCAACCTCGGAGCTGGGAACCAGAGCACCGACCTGCCTCCCTCACCACCTTGGGGATGGCATGGAAAGATTGGTACTGGCTGCTCTCTCAGGTCAGGGAAGCAACCTTGGGGACAGGTAAAAGGGGATGAGGAGGTGGGGGAACCGAGACTGGAGCAACCAGCATGTGAGCTTTCCTGAAGTCTATCCTGCCTCCTTCCCTTCTCTTCCCTTATGAAATCCCATCACCAGATAGCAGAGAACAGCTGCCTGGGAGGGGTGAGGAACCAAAAGCCACACTACAGCTCCTCCCACTGTGCGCTGGATGAGTGTGAGCCTCCACATTCAGGAGCTCATGCTCATCTCCATGGGTCTCTGCGCTTGCTAAAATTTTGTTCTAAGACAATCCACAAATCTCAGTATTTATTTAACGTATTTATTTAATGCCTAAGGCACATGGCAAATGGCTCAAACCAAAAATCAAATATACTCTTTGGGTGGCTGCAGAAGCAGGGCTTTCCCTCTCTTACTGTGGCTAGTGGCTGAGGAATGGGCCGTGGGCTCCAGTGCCTTTGCCTGCTCCCATAAATTCATCCAGTCCAACTCCCACCATCAGCATCGTCATTCTGTACCAACACTAAGCACAAAGCACACTTACGACCTAGATTTTGAAACCAAGAGTTGACACTGGTTATGCCCATCCTGGCTCCTATCTGTCAGTCCTTACCATAACCCAAATAAAGGATGGAAGGTTTTTTATAAAGACAAACAAACGATGAAAACTTGGTGGCCACCAATACCTTCTTGAGTCCCACTGAACTTAATCCAGTTGGGTTCTGAATAGGCATATACATGATTCTACTCTCACTCATTTATTTCTTTTCAGGGTGTGGGGGATAATTAAATTATTCCCATTGTTACTGTTTTTCAATCAAAACAACTGCAGCATCGAACTATCCACAGGTATTTTAGGTTTAGATCAGGGGTGCCCAACCTTTTGGCTTCTCTGGGTCACATTGGAAGAAGAAAAATTGTCTTGGGCTGCACATTAAATACACAAACACTAACAAAAGCTGATGAGCAAAAAAAAAGTATGTGCATAATTTTCATGATATCTGCCACCACCATGCATACAAACAGCAAGAGCATACATGCATTTATTTTACATGACATTGCAATATGATGTTGTTGTTACGAAGTTCACACTAGAGAACTGCCCAAACAAGTTACAAAAAACTTTATGTTGGGCCATGGTCATAGCCACCTGGGGCTGCACATGGCCTGCAGGCTGTGGGTTGGACACACCTGGTTTACACTTTCAAATCCTATCAGTCTGACTACAATTCATGATTGTTTGCTTCCTGGGGTGTCTACCTGACAGTCTCCTACTCCATCCTTAAACTAACTACTATATGGGAGTTGTAACACTTTTTCTGTCTAAATATACATAGATTTGAGTCTTTATTCACTAGCAAGGGCTACTGCTCAACAACATCAACTTCCAAAGCTATGCACTTGATCCTCATCATTTGCTCTTCCTTTCTGCAATCACTCATTAACCAAATATATTATTAAAAGAACCTCAAATGATGTATCCAAAGACTGCTGTTCACAGCACAATACTTCTGCAGTCCCACAAAGAGAATGTCCAGATACACATTTAGGTTTTGCACAAGTCCTTTCCAGTGAAAAATGGTGCTGGAAATTGTAGGGGTAAAATATGTAGACTTAGCAAATTCTAAAAATATATGTCAATTCAGCAAGCCATGCCATGTAAAAGACTTAACATTATAAAATGCTCTTATACTGCTACCAGCATTTACTATTAATTTGAGCCAAAGTTATTTCCAAACTGGGTGCTTTATGATCATAGATTTAGATGTCTGGGGTCTGTATGTCTGTGAATCCTATAAGGGAAAGGCTGTCCACAAGTGAGAAACAAAGAAAGTGAACTTCGAGAATTGTTAACATTTTGTATCACTTTCCTTCAGGTTATTGATTTACCACCACAGGCCCTCTCTTTGCAGAAGTTGCTGTTGTTGTATATGATTTCCTCAGTGGGATGGGTTTGGGGCTGAAGTGCTTTCTGTTTCCAATTCAGCACACTAAGCACCTGCCTAACAGCTCTGCAAAGCTGGGCCCTGTAATCTAGCCTTATGTTTCCCCCCTTTTTTTGTTTACAGTCAAACAGCATGAAGTCTGGGAATCCAAGCGGTTGTTAAGAATACCTTTGAAAACCCAGACACTGATTTTGTATGGATACAGAGTTTAATTGTGAGGCCCATGGCGCATATTGGCCTTCCCTCTGCTTAGTATCCTCCAACTGTTTTGGCTTGCGTCTCCCACCAGGTCCTATCCAAACGGGCAATGCTCAGGGGAAGCAGAGTTTGTCATCCAAGGCATCTGGACCACACCATTGCTAGGAAGACTGATGCACAGGAATGGCCTGGGGCTCCCCTCTTCAGTACTACAGAGCCTTCTAGAAGAACCTTGTTGAACATACCGGTGTTTCAGCATGCCCTAAATCCTCAATAAACATCATTCAAATGTAGCTTAAGCCATTCCAAACAAACAGTAGTTTGATCCCGAGCAAAATGGGCCTTCAGTACCGCTGTGAAGGGTGATCTTTTCATAGAGATAAAGAGAAATGACATTCAAGATGCTCATAACTATCTGTAACTTCTAAGCCTATGTTTATATATTTAGATTGTAATTCTATGGACATTTATCTGGGAGTATGTCTCACTGGAGTCCATGGGCAACGGTTCTGCATAGGATTACACAGCAAGAGCCTGGTGGGAGAAAGAAATACAGGACATTATTCAGGACTCTCACGGCTGTGTGTTTAAAGTTGAGGAGTTTCAAGGAGATTGCCCTGTTTCTGAGCTTGCTCCTCAACTCTCCACTTGAGTTGCAACACAGAGAATGTAGGGATATGATCTGAACACCTCTAAGAGACAGGACAAGTGAAACCGGGGGGGGGGGGGGGGGGGAGAGGCCTAGTCCTCCTAGTCCCTTGTGTGCCCAGCACCAGGGCTAGCCATCATCTGGGCAGATAATGGAATAATGAGAGCGACCATGCAGGCTGCTGCCTGCACTGCGCGTGGTGAGGGCTGTCTAGGCCCAGACTGCTCCTTTGCCAGAAAGCAGCACTTGTTCAGGGTGGCAGATGAATGTACGTAGAACAGTTCTGGTGTGAGCAAGTGCCGATTTATTGAGTGAGGGAAAAGGTTTAGAAAGAGGTGATCAGAAACAGAGACAGAGATCTGCAGGGTTGCAGAAGACTGACTGCCGAACATTTCTAAACTGCCAATACTCAAAAGTTCTCTGTGCGCTTCTTCACAACATGACAGGGTGGTCTTGAGGAATGTTGCACGTCTGGAAAGCACAGCTGCTGGCTTTAACACCAGACCTCGAGAGGAGGCAATTTTCACACAAGAGCTCAAACGGGAATCAGAAACTTACATGGCTGTTCTCAGGGATGAAAAGTGAGAGTGCTGCCCTCTAGGGGCTGGCTCTAGTACTTCTATTCAAAACAAGATCCCTTGCTAAAGAGGCTTTCTTCTAGTCCAGACTATATGCATGCTTAATAGACATCCAGTTTCTATACTTCCCAATAGCTGAAGCTCTCTGGGAGGTTTGCAACAAGTCACTGCTTGCTATGTTTATTTGACATTTTTCTCCTGCCCCCATTAAGAGCGAATGCTACATTTCCCCTAATAACAGCAGCACCATTTCAGCCGAGACATTCTGGGCGGCTATCTGCTAGGGAAGCTCTAGTTCTGAATCTTGTGCACTGAGCAGGGATTTAACCAGAGAGCCTACAAGGCCCCTTGCGTCTCCGCAATATTATAAAATAGGGAGCGGTGGCTTTACAAACCTATCCATGAGCTACGGCCAACACCTCAGGACCTCCTCCAAGGAAGGATCAGAAAATGGTGGCAAGGCAGGGGCCCTTCTGAGTGGCACCCCCCTCAGTTGTGGAATGCTCTCCCCACGCAAGTCGGCATGATGCCAACAACACCACTGTTGCAGTGCTAGGTTAAGACTGCCCTCTACTCTTAGGCCTTTGACAGCATATGGTGGGATATGGATGCCAGCTGTTACATCAGCTCCTGCTATCTCACTGTAACTGTCTGTAGGCTTTTAAATTGTTCTTAAGTTTTTATGTTAAAGGGTTTAGGTTGCATTTTGTAAGTGCTGTGAACCACCCACACAGCTTTGGCTACTGGGTAGTACAGACATACTCTCCCTCCTCCTCCTCCTCCTCCTCCTCCTCCTCATCATCATCATCATGGTACAGCAAATACAAAGGAACCAACCAGGATCCTTTAGCTGAAGGAAAGGAAGCCACTTTCACAATGCTGGCTGCATTTTTAAGCAGGGCTGCATGCAGGGATTTTCCCTATATTAAAAATGTAAGTTTGGCACTCAGGCCACCCAACATACATGCGCATCTGAGCCTCAAAACCTGAATTCTGTGACCAGTGTGAAGTAGGCACATTGAG